ACTGTTGTTTGTTTTGTTTTTTTAATCTGAGAGCAGAGCCTGGCAAATTGGAGCTAGATGTAGAACATGTTGTTCTCACACAAACCACTGCATCTAGAAATCTATAAATAGAAAAACAACAGTAAAAAAGTGGAAGATGGTTCAGAATAGAGAAAACATAACATCATCCTTTCATTCAAGGCCTGCTGTCAGTTACTGGAAGTTAAAACAGAAACCAATATATAGTTACAGTGTATTTCATAGCTGAATAAATGTCTCCTTTTCAAGGACTCACATTCCTCTGAGAAACAGATCAAGAGAGCAAGAAAATCTCTACTGAAAAAAAGCCTAATCACGTGTGTGTGCTGCTCTTCCCACATGAACAACCACACACAGCTTCATGATCTCATATACAGACTGTTTAGCATACACATACACACATGGTTCATCCCTCGTGCCAGCGTAGCCAACAGAAAGTGGCGGTCCACGCAGAGCGCTTGTAACGTCAGCGCTGCTACTGTTGCCGGGCGGAAAAGTGAACATGGAGGCGGAACGGTGAATTAAGTCTGCCCTCCTGACAATGTCACACTCACTACTCAGGTCTGACTGCAGCACTTCTGACTGTCCTAACTAATTGGCCTGAAAGCCTTTATGGGTTGCAGAGAAGGTGTGTGTGTGTTTGTGTGTGTGTGCATATGGGGGACTCAAGTATGGAGATGCACAGACAGGAGGAGAGAGAGAGAGAGAAAGAGAGGAAGAGATGTCAATAGCTGTTCACTTCACTTTGGGCCAAAACAGATGGATGGAAACAGTGAGAGAAGAAGGAGTCTTTTCTCTAAAGTCTAGAGTCTCTAAAGCTCAGATTTTCATAACAGATTAAGGCTTTGCTTCTTGGAAGTCACCAGAGGGTGTGTGTGTGTGCGTGCGTGCTGCTTTTTCAGTTGTTTTGGGAGAGTTTGCAGCTCCTCCCAGGATGTGGTAGTGTGGGCAGACTGGGCTCCATGCCCCCTGTGGAGTACAGGGTGTGTGTGTGTGTGTGTGTGTGTGTGTGTGTGTGTAATATATATGTGCGTGTCTTAGTGCTGTCATGGACCAGACTAAGCCTTGCGTGCATTTCCTGGTTTACTGTTGTCTGCGTTAAACGAGCTGCTTATCTGGAATCACACCGTGATCTTAAGCAACAGAAGCAGCTGTTAGGTGTTGTGACTGGTGAGGCTCAACCTTTACAGGTAAACATCAACAGACTTATAAGGGCTGTAATAACATCAACCACAGAGGACACTCTCATATATATCAGTACTGCTGATATGACAGAGCTGTGGAAACTGAACTTATGTGTTACAATTGATACGACTGATTGATTTAAAATACGTTTGCTGAGCAAGTATTTCTTTTTTATTTGCATCTGTAACTCTTCTTCTGTTGAACTTTAAGCAGTTGGAGGTGGAGTGCTTTGCTTCAGATCCTTTAGAAACTATAACCACGTTTGTGTAAATATGTAACCATAATGTGGCATTGAATAACTCTACATGTTCAATTCATCGTTTCCAAGACTCACTCACTTTTTTCATTTAAAGGTCCAGTGTGTAACATCTAGGAGGATCTATTGGAAGAAATAGAATATAATATTCTATATTATAGGTATGTTTTAGGGCTGCACGATATGGTGAAAACTAAATTTTATGATTGTTTTGACAGATATGATTCACCATTACTGTAACAATCATAATTTTTGCATACACAAAAATTATTTTCACTAAATATCTATTAAAATTAAATTATCTATATTATATTATTAAAATCATGTGTGAAAATGTGAAATTTTTGGCCGTATGTTCAAAACCAACATGTTTTCGAAAATCTGGGGAACAAGAATTGTAGACCAGCGCATCTCTGCAGCCCGATTATACTTAATGCTGTTATGTTTTATTTTATTTTACATTCTTCAAAACACTGAAGCTCTTTCAATTTGCATATTGC